AAAGTTGGACATCATCTCAACTTTGACTTGGGCTCAAGTCGTGGAGGTTTTCTCGGCTGTATAACGGTCGAATACGGGAGGCGACTAGCAGTCAGAAAGAGCAATGCCTGGATTACACCGGTTCAAGTGGAGAGCCGTCCAGCTCTATTGCCTGAACTACGGCTCGAACTTTTTTGACGGGTGTGCTGCACCGCAGTTTGAAGACGGACTGTGCCGATGGATTTTGCCCTCTGCTTGACGATTCGCTTCAGATCTCATAGCTGCCTTGCGTGCGGATTGACCGAGGAAGCAGCTTCTTCATCCAATAGTTTCAAGACCCACCGCTATCTAGAGCTGAGTTTACAGGTACTCCCAAACCTCACTTTTCATTCGAACGTGAGCCTCCCTCTGAAATGCTAGTCGTCTCGCTAAGATTGTCTGCATGACTTGTTAATTTCCTTGTGCCAGCTCCGTTATTTCGGCGTCGACAGCTGCCATGCTGGCGCCAGGGTGGTAGAAGAAATAGTTAAGGAAGCGCTTGAAGGGGTCGGTGCTGAAGGTAGCGGATAACATTCTTGTCCATAATGCAGAATAAGGATGAGCAGGAGCCGAGCCAGTGACACTAATAGAAAGATCAATCCTTAATGTATAAATGCTCACATTACCGGTTAGCCCTCTTCAGGTAATAGGCGAATACTTGGGTTCAAAAAAGTATGACAGAACTTTCCCGCCAACCTAATATAATAAAAAGTGGGAAGTGTGTTTGCATAGTGCTGCATGTCGCCAATTAAACAAGAATTAAAGGCGCGGTCCGCGATAAGGAGGGTAGGTACACTCCTTATCCCTGAGCCAGAGTAGGCGTGGCATTTGAACATGGCACGGAACTGGTTACTCGTGGAATATTCCAGTCTGGGACAACTGTCATCTTGTTCTGTGTTGGACAGAGACACGACAACAGTTGTGTCAAGATGGAAATATTCCACCAGAAGCATAGACACCTTCAGGTTAAGTTGAAGAATGCAGCCCCGCCTACCCGATCTCAGGGATCTCGAGTTTAGTGGTTTTGTGGTATGAGTGAGAAGTTGCCGTGGGACCAGCCTGTGAAGACAAAAATAAAATGGCCCATCGGGAATGCTTTTAATAGGACCATTCCGGCCTCAAAGAACTGTACTGGCGGAAAGCGAAAAGACCGCGTTTTGGGACGAGTTCACTTCATGGTACTTGTCCAGTAGCAGTTTTTGGCTGGAAGGCGGACTTTGGAAGCGGAGTCTGGAGGCGGAGTCACTGGAAAAAGGGAGGCACCACTGGAGCAACTTTTCGCCTTAATTCCTGTTTGTTACAAGTTTATGCCTCAAAACCATCAGAATGTTGCCCCTTGCGAACTACACTCCTTTCCTTCCAATTTTTGCATTTTCATAGGTCATCACAGACCATTCCTTCATGGTCAAGATTTTTTGTAATGAAAAAGCGCTGAACGAAGCCTTCGCTCGATGGACCCTTTTGCAAGCGTGCTAACATGCTACTGCTGAACCACGCCAATCAATCGTGTTAAATTTTTGCAAATAATAGCCATGCCGTGCTCGTTTCCAGTGAAATATAATATGATGGTCATGTTGAAGTGCAAAACAAGGGTGCTCACTAGACCGCACAGTTTTACATATAGCGATGACCAGTCCCTTAATTTATTGCGCAGCATCTCCAAATTGAAGAAAGTTTGGAGTTTATTAAGTGACAGCAGAATTTGAGAACGCTTGGCTGGGCCACTGATTTGCCTATTCTCCTCACCAGGCAGGCACTTATGACACCGAGGCAAGCTCCCTGTTACGATGATCCTGAATGTTGAAACTCGCATACAGTCATTATCTCTGCGGAGGGAGAACGTGTGAGGGGGCGCGAATTGGATTGGAGCCAAGGCGACCTTTTTAGCAGATGGTGCCATCCTGAGCCCGCAACAATTGATGGATAAGGCTGGCCGGGTTGCGCTCTAATTGGGCTTCTTCACACGCTCTCCGTTCACAAGGATAATGGCTGTATAATGCCCCCAACAAACCGGACACCCGTTGTCTTACAAAGATGCGCCACGCGGTCGACTTTCATTGAGAAACGTAGAGTCGCTCGAATATTTACCATTAGCAGCAGTATCAGAGATGTATCTGATGCTCTTTTCAGTTTGTTCTATGGTCCCTCACACTCAAGCTGGCTGCAAATATTGTCGTTCCAGGTGGCCTCATGGGAGTAATCATTCGAACCATTTCTCATGAGTGCGATCCTCCTCATTCCAATCCCCTCGTACAGGTGACTTTGCCCACAGGTCACCTTCAATTAACTGACCCAAAAGGGATGGACAACATTGCAGACCTTCGAAGGGAGAGAAGTAAGGGAAGGTACGCACCCTAAGTTCAAGTTCACACCCTATTAGCGAGGCCGCGGCTCAAACATTGTCTCCGAATCCACATAATATAGCTAAAGGTTGACTACCTGTAAAAAATTAGATTCCGTGTTCTCCAGAATTCATGAACGTTTTTTTGGTGTTTGCAACAACTACTGATTTCACGCTACAGTAACGAAGTTCTAGGGTTTCCGGGGGAGGGAAGACCTTTTCAAGGCCATGCTCTCGGAACAGCCAGTGAATTGAAAGGCTGGCTTCTAACCAGGAAACGTTTTCGCTTTTTTTCGCGTGTGCAAATAAAAAATAATGAAAATTAAAAAGGAACACATAGACTGCTGTTTATGTTTCATACTAGTTCTCGTAATTGAACATTTTTCAGTTGTCGCAAGGCGTACAGCAGTATTTATAGCTCCACAAATAAAGTGAATGGAAAAAGGGGAGCGACCTTCTGAACTAGTTCGAGGTCAAAAAGCTTCGAAAGAAGGGAACATAATCCCGGCAGGGAAACCTTCAAAATACGGAAAAGTTGTCCTTCCCTCCCCCCCCCCCCCCCCCTCCACCCCACACGCCAGTCTGACGTTGAGCACGAGTCTGTAGAAGTGCATAGAAGACATCCGATCAGTAATATCAGGAGTAGAATATTGAGGAGCTTCCGGTCAGTGGCTATGGGAGTGTCGAGTAGGGGGGGAGTGAGATACACAGCGTGCTTAGAAGGCCGAAATGAAAGAAATCAACAGTGAGAAATTTCTGACCGGGTCGAGTACGACCTCCTCCCGTGTCCGGAAAATCCTTAGCAGTTGCATACCTTGTTTGAAAGACTCAGAATAGATCAAAGTCTGAGACCAGTTGCCGTCTGAAATTCCTGCACAATCCTGTGCACAAGCCGAGCGCGTGGCGCACCCTAAAATATATTGATTAGCGCCGAAAATTCAGACTTCCGCTGGTCATGCTTCATCTGCCATGCAGAGAAGTAACGAATAGATTTCTTCATGGAATCCAATCCTAATGTTTTCTACATAAAAACCAAATTTTGATTTTTATGCTGTATTTATTTGAGCGCCACCAGTAGAAGATGGCACCTACATGTGGCTTATATAAAAAGTGCTCAGCTGGCATTAGCACTATTGACGCTGGTGCACCGATGTATATTCAAAATTCATCCCTAGAACGACAAGATACTTATTGCATATGATTGACATTACGGCATATATTCTTTACTTTTCATTTTGCAATATGGGTAGGCCTATTTTGTGAAATACATTAATAATCTATCATGTACTTCAGCAGGGAACTTCCTACGAGCCATCTGCATCTCGATGGGATAAGCAGGTGGAATGGGGAGAGGAGGAACATATCGAGGATTTGGATGATCTCCCATATCCCGGGTAAGGAACTCGGTCTATTATAATCTGTAAATTACAATGTAGTACCTACAAATTGCAGTAGAGTGTTTAGCTTGAGTTTTCATAGATATTTTTAAATATTCCTTTCCTCAGAGATATTTGAAGTAGTTCTTGTTTTGGTTATCCGAACAAAAACTTGGAACGAACTGCAAAATTGCCTCCTCAGAAAATTTAGCATATTTCTTCAAATCTGAGCCTCAAATAACACGTGCCCCTAAGACCTTTCAAGAAGCAGTGAATTAGAGCTTAGTGTTTGAATGGGTGACCAGTTTCCCTTTGGAATAGAGTGCTTGTACTATTTTGTCCTTTCGTGAGCTTATAACTTGTTTCAAACTGGTCTCTGAATCGGTTTTCAACTAGTATGTGAAGGTAATCAATTCAGATTCGCCGAGCCAGCGTTACGATGTCTCAGACAGGCGCAACCGCCTCGATCATGGGCTCTAACGTTAGTTATGAGTCCGTGGTTCGACAGGGTCACGATGTTCGTCATCCTGATAAACTGCATCACATTAGGTAAATAGTGTAGTCTTATAAGGGCAAAATACTGTCTGAATGCGACTTTATTACAGTTCCTCTCTATTGGTAGAAGTAGCCATTAGGTTGGTCATTAATTTCTAGGACACTTTATTTCAAAACTGTTTATTTTTATTATTCATGAGTTTATTCTCTTGTGTTTTCATTCTCTTGCCTTTGGGTTTTAGTCACGACAAACCTCCACAGGAGAGTGCCAGCAGCCATTCAGGGGATGACAGTAGTGGTGGAGTAATAGCTATCTCTCTGTGACAGCAACGTCTGTCTGTCTGTCTGTCTGTCTGTCTGTCTGTCTGTCTGTCTGTCTGTCTGTCTGTCTGTCTGTCTGTCTGTCTGTCTGTCTGTCTGTCTGTCTGTCCGGAAATTCGGAATCACCTGAAGAGCCAGTTGGAGGGGCGGGTCAAGGGTGGGATGGGTAGGGCATGGGCCAAGATGTACGGAACACACGAACTGAGCTAAGCTCCGCCCACCGTGGGCGGAGCGTATGCACATTGAGAAGCAACTTATTTCAAAAATTCATAACTCAGTTTTGGAAGAGCTCGGAGAGCGGAAAAGTAAGAGACGATAGGCAATCATGGCGGACGGACTGAAGGAGACATACCCATCGCGGGCGGGGCGTGCTGTCAGTGGGCTGTGTTTGCTACCATGTTTCAAAAACTCGTGATTCGGCTCCAAAAGCCTGGAGAGTGGAAAGTGTGGGAAACGATAAGGCAGTCAGTTGGCGGACGAAATGAGGGAGACACACCCATTATGGGCGAGGCGTGCTATAGGTGGGCGTGCTTGCTACAAAACTTTCAAAAATTCGAGCCCGGAGAGTGGAAAATGTGGGAAATGGTAGAGAGTGAATACATTTATAGTTGAGGGAGACACACCTGCTGTGAACGTGGCTTGAACCTAATTTCAGAATACCCTTTTCACACGCGGAAAGGAGGATTGGACTTGTAATGTATGGGGTCGGGCTAATACGTCAACCAACTGAATTCCTAGCGTTCAGTAACTGAAGTGTCTCAGAAATTATTGAACAAACTATATGCTGATATGGCAACATGTGCAAAATTATATATTTTATGATGTTCTAATTGTTTTTTTTTCAGGAATGTATCGGCCATGTGACGACGGGCCAGATTGCCACACATATCGGTGTAATATCCTCGCCTTAATTGATCATGCCATATTCGCCTATTTTGCAGCGGAAATGGTAAGTATTAACCAAATAGTGGGAAACACCGAGGTAGAAACCAAGAAATCGAGCTGCTGGTTTCAATTATGTGAAATGGATTACACTCTGCAACAGGGGTAGAGCAGTTGCAAAAAGCATCAGCTCTCGTGCACAAAGTAACAAAAATCAATTCCCAGAGTCCCTGTGGATGACAATTAGGTAGAAGCTTTCTCCAAAGTTCAGGACTGTGTTCAAAACTTGAGAGTAACTAGGGGGTGAGATGATGTGGTGGAAAGGGGGGCTGTATAGCCGTCCGAGAGTCGAATCTTGAATCGACCCTTGCCCAGACTAGCAGAGTCTTCCGTTTTGGGAGTCGTATAATTGGAACACGGGTTGTCCCACCTGGGTAGCATTGCATATGCTGCATTTGAAACGCCACTGCTATTGTGAATGAAAGTAGGGTGCGTGGCGCATCCAAGAAATGGGATACATGAAGGGTAGTCGGTCTTCTTGTCATTGAATCTGTGGAAATGACAGTGGTCCATATACCGTGATTTTTAATTGATCGGATGGATTGGTTATTGTCGTAATGTTATTAATTATTTATCGTGTGATTATTATTTATGAATTATTTGTTATTACTATTTATTACTTATTTTATATTGCCTTTATATCTGTTATATTTATTATATTGTTATAATTCTTGTGCTTTACTTGTTTTGTGCCTTACAAGATTGCTAGATGAAAAAGTTGATTTACTACAGCCTAACGTTACTATTGGATCGTCATCTTTAGAAGCCTGAACATATTCAGAGATTAAAGTTACGATCTACCCTATCAAGTTAATGTCAACTTTGGCCGCCCTGACGTAGTCTTAGAAATCCCTCGAGAAGACTTCGAGAACCGTGAAAACAAGCCTAACGACGATCCGGCTATCAAAAAGGAAGAGTAGAAGGGGCAGTTCGGCGACGAGGGGGGGGGGCATTTTGCACTTTTGCTACTTCCCATCGACGTGTCGACCCATCTAGAGAGCCATTTCGTGAGCTTACAAGAGTTGACAGGTTTTACCATGGTGGCTCGACGAGCTTGCTCCAGCTTCACCAAAGTTCAAAGATTCCAACAGATTAAGAAACCTGTCAACCGGAAGCAGTGAAGCAGCGAAAGTGCAACATGCACCCCGCCGCCGAACTGCGCTAAGTAGAAGAGTTCGTTGCATAACAAAAGTCTGAGTAAGTTGTGAGTGTAAAAAGATACTGCATTTCCCTCGTACGGCTCTGTCATTCTACAGTGCGCAGTGCAGTACAAACGGCACCAGGAACTTGCTATCGAGGGGCACTCGTCTAGGCTGTTTCTCTTTATGCTCAAGTAAAAATCCATAACGGTTCTCATGCCTTCCTCGCAGAAATTTCAGTCTCAACTGCCAGTAACGTACACTCTATTTTGAATTTCATACCATTATGCTGCTTCCCCTTGTGCCCCTCAAGAGCTGTTGTGAGCGAACCGCGTCACCTCTAGTAAGATGTTCTTTGGTCAAATCGTTCCCATGGTTTTTGAAGTCTTCTTGAGGGGTTTCAAAAACTATGTGACGATGGCCACGTGATTTGGCCAAAGACAAATCTAGTGGCCATCGTCACATCGTTTTTGAAACCCCTCAAGAAGACTTCAAAAACCATGGGAACGATCTGACCAAAGAACAGCTAGAGGTGACGCGGTTCGCTCACAACAGCTCTTGAGGGCACAAGGGGAAGCAGCATAGTGGTATGGAATTCAGTATAGAGAGTATG